GAATGCACCCGAGCAAAAAACTCACCACATCACTGTGTGTCGTGTAGAGATTATCTGCCAGGCTTTCCAGAGCAAGCCACTTCACCGGCAGCTTGGAGGCACAGCCCTGTCGGTAGTAGTCTCCACTGTAGATTTTCTTAGAAAGCCCAAAGTCTGCAACGCTCACGTTCATGTTCTCATCCAACCTAAGGGAAAGTTTTCATGACTGAGGAAAGCATTTATTGGCTATCTCAGGCAAAACCCCCAAAGTTATGTCCAAGGAACCGATGTATACAGTTCACTGAGTATAACCACAAGGATAACAACTTTGTCTACTTTATAACCAATGTGAAAGTTTAGTGGTCTCAAATCAGTTCCTTGAGACTAACAGGGAGATAATTAGAACTAAGGAAGGAAGGAAATGGCTGTGCTCAGGTAGTCTACTGTTATGCAAAGTGAATTCAGATACTTTCTGTAGCTCCCAAGATTATCAGAGGACATCTGCAGTGCCCACTGCTACCACTAAGGCCTGCACCTTGTACAGGCAATCAAAAAACCACAGGATGGCTGCCTAGACTGCCTATTACAACTGCTCAGACTAGACCTACAACATCTTCTCTGCAAGCCTGGTTCATGGTCTGAGTTGCTGTCGCTCACATAAACCCAGACCTTGGTAGATGATGCAAGTAAAGCCCACAAAGACTTGATGCTCCCAGGCCTCATGAAGCACTCGCTGCTTTCCCCAGAAGATAGGCTGAAACAGGCATTCAGCTTCCTCTGCAAGTCTGTATTGTTTAGGTGGTTAAAAATGGGAAATTGGTAGGGGTTTCTTGCAAATGTCAAAGCAGCCCAACCCCTCATTTTTCATTAGGATTATCAAGCTCCTGTCTGTACATGTGCATGTTCAGATGCCTTTGGAAATCTGTGTCTCACTGCAGATTTCACCGGTTGTCATGCTTTTGTTCAGAGGCAGAGTTCTCTCTGCCAGCATGGGTTGTTCCTTACTCCATTCTCAGGAAAAAAGCAGAGTGGAAAGGATAAAAAGGGACTTTTCTTCCCTTCAAAGCAGGCAAAGGCAGTTTGGGGAGAAGAACAGCGATGTGGGATCACACAGTGTGTTCACCACGCAATTATTTCAAAAGCCTTTCTCCACAAGCTTTCAGGGAAATTCTGCATTTCTTACACTGTGATAATCAAGCCCTCAACATACATACAAGAAACAGAGACTTCAGGCTACAATGACAGTTCCTTTCTCCTCACCCATTCTATCCTGTTGGCTGCATTATATTGTAGAACAAATATCCCGTGCTGACACGCAGCCACCAGAGTGACTAATTACCCACACAAATACTGTAATCAGCTCTGTGAAACTGTATGTGCAGGCCAAGGATGGAAAAGTTCCTTACAAATAGGGTCTATGTGGAAGCTCAGTAGGACATTAGGAATTGCTCCCTGCTCCCATTACCACCACCACAGTCTTCCACCCCCGTGGCCACAGCTCCCCAACGCCTATTGTCACTTCAATGCAAAGACCAGCATCTTCAGACAGGACCCCTCCCCACCTGCATCACACAAAAGGCTTCTCATCCCTCTCTCAGCCACTCTGGTCTTGCTTTTCTCTAGAAGCTCAGGGGTCACTTACATGCAGTTCCGAGCTGCAAGGTCCCTGTGTATGAAATTTTTTGAGCTCAAGTACTCCATCCCGCTGGCAATGTCAATCATGAATTTGAGGAGTGTCTGAACAGGCAGGTTCTGAAAGAAATAACAGTTTACATTCTGTTCCTGGACACTTTCAAGCATGGTTGGCAAGATTTGTTACCACCTTACTGAGCGGAATGGAATGGAATGGTTTGGAATGGAATGGAATGGAATGGAATGGAAGAGTTGGTCCTCAACATCCATGGAATGAAATACTTCAACATCACATCTCACAGTTTTCTCTGGTATTAAAACCCCACCATCTGCCAATACCTTTGGGGGACCAACCCTGAACTGACCCAAGAACGTTCTCCAAATCCATAACCTCCCAGAAGGAATTCTACAGTAAGACAGACTTACAAAAGGGTTTTCCCCAATCCGTGACATCAGCAGAAAAGCATGAAGGTCTCCATGCTTCATGAAGGGCAGGATCACCATGGGAATTGGGAGACGGCCCTTGGGACGGCTCCGTAGACTGACCCCTAAAGAGGGCACACAAAGCAAAGTGATTTTAGCAAACAGATCAGTCCCAGGTGAATCTCACAGGCTGCTGTTGGGGTTTGGGTTGGAAGAGACCTTGAAGATAATCTAGTTCTGGCCCCCCTGCCAAGGGCAGGGACACCTCCCACTAGACCAGGCTGCTCAAGCTC